TGTGAAGTTTGTCAAATACATGTAACACATATAAACACGTTGCTAATAGACATCAAACATTTTACTAGAAAAACCCAGGTAAATATAAAACCAGTGTCTCATAACCTTAAGGAGTCTATATGTAGCATAATGCAGATGAACCAGGATCTTGCTGTCAAATATGCAGGTGATACTGTATTACACCAAGCATTTTCAGTGCTTGCTTGATATTCAGATAACCTATAAAATTAGAGAGGGAGATGTCCTGGCTTTAGCCACACTGCTGAAGTTAGTGAGAATTACTGCTGTGTCACCCAGGGTAAAGTGAAATTAAAAGTTTTTCCATACCAAGGAGCTGCCTGGTCTAAGGTCAGCCTTCTCCACAACAATGAGTCTTATGCTAATGAAATTACCATGCAGCTGGGAAAGACATTGCTCCTGCTCAGCTCCCAGTCATCCCCTTTCATCATCTCAGTGCTGGTTTATGAAGCTGAGAAATGCAGTGTAGACAATATCTCTGGTCCCAGTCATTCCCATCATGAACACATCTGGAATGGGAGTGGGATGATGGATGACCCTGGTTGTCTGTGTTCCATATGGACTCCCCACAAAGGAAAAAGACACTTAATGGAGGCTACAAATCTTCTCTGACCTGCAGTCTCTCCCACTCTTGACTTAGATTTTGTTCATTTTGGGATGACGGGTCACTTTCTACCTGAAGGCAGCTCTTATAATAATTTACTGTACATGTATTCTGAGGTATGCATGCTATCTAAGCTTTCCAGATGGTTGGTTTATAGATGCCTTTTGTATAACTTTCAGCTTCTCAAGATCTGTTTAGGTTTTTTTTATTTTTTAAAAATGTTTTTAAATAACAGGTTTGTATTCTGTCAAAAGTAAAAAAGATAATGTTACTCTTCTTCTAAAGATACTTGGTTTGTGTGCTCAGACTTTTATCCTTAACTTATTTTAAATCTGCACCTGCCATTTCCATAATTCCTGTGGGTGCGTAGTTTTAAAAAAACAGTGTGGGCCCAGCACCTGAATTCTATAACCTGGTTTGGATCAGAATGCACATTTTCCAGTCTGATCTTGGTGAGTACATTTTGGACCAAGAGCAAGTCAACATAAGTTAAAAACTATAATGGAAAAATGTTTCTCCTGAAAATGTGTACAAAGCACAGACTGGGAAATAAACACATCTTGTGATAGTGATACTGAGGGGGAGAGAAATGCAAAACACATGGAGGAAGGAGCTGTATCTCTCTGACCATATTATGCAAACCAACATCACCAGCACTTGGGCACGGGGGGCGTTGCATGCAGTCACACATGGGCACACACTGCACATTACACAAAGTAACCTCCTGTAGTTTGGTCACTTCTCAAAGCTGCTTTTGCTTGCAAGTGAGAGAAAAAGGACCAGAGCCTTGAAATCAATGCTGATGTCTTTTCAAAATTGGCTGAAGATAATTGTTTATTTCAAAGATAGGCTTGTGAGGTCCTGAAATTGGATTATGAAGAAAATCTTAAATGGAATATAAGGAGAATTAAATACCTTCCTGCCCCAGCAGAGCACAGTGCCCATCTTTGCTGCTATGAAATCATGGAAAATAAGTTTTGGCAGGGATTCAGCAGGCCATCTAAATGGTGCCTATGTCAAGGCAGGTGAGCCAGGCTTAAATCATCCCCCAGGGCTGACTGTGCTGGTTTGTGTCTCCTGAGACTCACAATACCACAGTCACTTTACCCCAGTGCTTCCTCTTCCTGTAGCAGTATGACATGCTCAGCAATGGGAGCCTTCTCAGCACTTGATTTCATTGGTTCAAACAGCTGTGCTTTATTAGGATGAGGGCAACATACTGATCTGTATTTATGATGCTGAGATTTACTTTATTTTCTCAATTATGCTCTGAATGCTCAGTAAAGGGGTTCTTAAATACAGATTTGGGATCCATCTGGAAGTACATAAAAAGTTGTCTAGAGGGCAGAGAGGGCATGTTCACACTGCAGATTCTCACTGGCTTGGGATCAATTACTGTTCTAATGCAAATGACTTTCACGTTACAAATCCTCAAATTTTTGAGAAATATTTAGCTTTACAAAGACACACCAAACTTTCAAAATTCCTAGCAGTGGAAATGATGTAGGTACCTTCACATTTTCAATGTTTCAGATTTCCATCTTTGTAAGTCTGCTCATATTTAGTTTATTGAGGCTGGCAAAGAATGGGAGAAGAGAAATTAACCACATTTGCAGGGTTATTCTTATCCCAAAGCAGAATTATTTTGCTATATGAGCACTTTGTAGTGTTTTAATTAAGGTAGCATTATTGCTAACAGTTTTAATACAGAGAAAATTGTTCTACTTTTGTTGCTGTTTTATTTCAGATAAAATATATTTATTAAGTAAATAAAATAAAAATCGTCTTACTTTCAACATCCCATGCGACAACAAATATTTTAATTTGTGCTGTGTTTCTGTACCTCCTAAAGAATAACAACCAGGATCCATCTAAATCTATCTTCCCAATAGATTTAGTCGCTCAGAGCAACCACACAAAACCTTCTGCCAGAGCAAATGCTCACTAAACTGGGTTTTCGTGTGTTGGGTGTGATGTTTGAGAGGAAACAGATACTGCAGAGGTGATAAATGTGAGGTTGCTTTCCTCTTAAAATACGCCTTGAATCCACTGATTTAAGTATCATCTCCTTCTGTATTTTTTGATACACTGATGCATTAATTATGTATTTCTGCTGTTCTTGTGAAATCTATTAGAGTTAAACCACCCTACTGCCATAATAGGAATTATTGAGATTGTATCAGCATTCTCAATATTACTGTCACTAGTGTATGGTGCTATTTATAAAGCAGAGAATAAAATGTACCTTATGTGTGCAATGATGTCATTTCAAACCATCTTGAGATGAAGAAAAACAACATTTCCCATTGGAAAATATGTTGACTAGAAATAACTCAGTAAGCACCTTTAAAACTCAGCCTTTCCTGCAAAACCCAAGTGTGATGACACCCCTAAACTCAGTGTGTATGTTATACCAAAAGTTTTGTGGCTGGAAATCATCATCCCTTGACTGAAACCAAAACTTTTATAAAGACTGACACAAGCACACCAAAGCTGCAAACAGTATCCTAAACCTCAGATCCTGAATTTGACTTTTCAGAGCACTCTACTAAACAGAGCAAGAAAGTATCATTAGCAAAGAAAGAAAACAATCAATATAATGGTAAAGCATTTCCATTTTGTACATCCACATGAACGTAACTGACTGTGAAACAACTTGCACTTACACGTTGTAAACATGTACATTATTAAAACCAACATTTTCATTATTAAACTCTCTACAGTATCCGCATTTCTTTTACAATCAGCTCATCTGTGTCTTTAGAAAGCAGGAATGCTTCTGCAGCCCTCCTGGGAAGTGCAGTGTGCCCTAAAGCTATTCAGAATAATACAGATTCATAGCAGAGCCACTTAATTGTCTTTAATAACTGACTCCACCATTTCCTATTGTTCACTGGTGAAAGTAGAAATAGCAATATGAGAAATACTGCTGTTTGAAAAAATAATTGTCTTTGTATTCCTTGAAGTCAGAAAAATAGGCATGTGGCTTGAACAAACACACACGATGGTATTTTCTTGTAAGTGTTCTGCTGGATTGACCATGTGATGATCTGCACCGCCAGCAGACAATTCCTTCTTGTTCCCCAGCTCCTCTTTTGTTCTCCAAGGGCAGAGCCAGCAGCTTCCTCCTCACTCTGGGGACAACGTGTCGTGGTGCACAGCTGGTGTGTGTGCTGGTGGTGAAAACAGAGCAGTCTCCTTCCCAGCAAGGCATTGCCTCATGTGTGGATAGGGCAAACCTGGTCCCTTCTCATAGTGCTGGCTTTACAGCTCTTCCTCATGAACTCATTGCTGGAAGGGACTTTTCCAGTGAGATGGTGACTAGCTAGACACGTGCATTTTCCCTCCATTTAAAATCTACAAATTGAGGGTAAAGCTTAGGGCCTGGTTGTGTCAGGAAAGAAAAATCAGCCTGGCTGGATACAATATTTAAAAATGGTTTCAAATTACTGTGGAGGAAATGGCCTCATATTTTTGAAGTCTACACTGAACTGTATTGCATAACTCATTCCTGAGCACTGAAGAGAATTGTTCATTGCTCATCCAAGTTAACAGGGATTTGTCTGCTAATTTCAATAGAAGCAGAAATAGACTAAAATGGTTTTTGGCAAGACTATCTAATGTTAGGAACTCAGGAGAGCAATCAGATTCTAAAAGTAGATGTTTCCTGTGCTAAGATATTGGTTTCTGATTTCTTTCACTGGAACTTCTACTGCCATGATCAGAAATTTATAATAGAGACTAGCATTCATCTAGAACTCAATTCAGAATGCCTATTGAATAAAACCATAGTTCCCAAACAAATTTCACAGTTTATTCAGAAAAAGAGAATTGTGTCTTAATGATGAGTTTCTGGGCAGAGTAATATGGTGACAATTTTTCCTATAAATAAATATTCTTGAACTACCAGTATTGCTAAATTAAATCTATTTTGAGATGCCTTCAGGACTTGTGTCATTAAGCCTGAAGAATAGACCTGTTTCTCTGAGGATGTTTGAGATCTTGGTATGCAATGACTATTTCACCTTAATTTGCTTTATGACCCTGCCAATGGGATGATAATATTTTGAGCCATCCTTTGAGGATGGTGATATTTTGTGGCATTCTTTGGAAAGCATCAAGATTTCAATACTTTGGAATGACTTTCGGCTGTTCATATGTTTGATTTATCTTGCAATGTGTGAAATCTTTTAAGCAGTCATCAATCTCATTAAAAGGGAAAAATAAAGGAATCCAAGTCAGTTACACTTTGTGAAAATGGATAGTTTAAAATCTAGTGTTAAGGAAAAGTACCAAAAGCAAAAAGTGCTGAAAGCTTCCAATTGCCACATATCGGTTCTTTCTTTCCTATTTGCTATTGGCTACCTGGGGTTGTTACAAATGCCAGATGGTATCAGGACATGTGGAGATTATGCAGCTTGGTGGGCAGGCCCATGTTCACTCCCTGCTGCAGTGCACAGGACGAAATGTTATTCCAGGTCTACATCACACTCCTTCTACATCACTGCTGTCAGAGGTTGATGTGGTTTGAATAGGATGTGTCCTTCTGCCTGAGCCTACTCTCTGACACACCATCTTGGATTTCCACACACCCACCCTTCTCCCCAATTTTTTCACAAGCAGAACATGAAATGATGTGTTTGCAGTGGCTGGTGCTCAGCTAGGCAGATGTCTCTCCAGATTTTAATGCAACGAGTTCAGAGTCCTCTACGTATCTTCCATTTAACTGTTCATTGTTGGCATCATGATGGTAGAGGTAAACAGGGACCTCTGTGATTGACGTGGCAGTGTAGGAGGTAGATCGTGTGGAGCAGTGCTCCCGGCGCCTTTGGCCCCACTGGGTTTTGTACTGGGTCCATTGCCTCTTCAGAGCTCCTTGAACCTGTTAGAGAGACACACAGCTGGGGTGAGGCATGATAGAGACCCCTGTGATGGAAAGGAAAGGAAAGGAAAGGAAAGGAAAGGAAAGGAAAGGAAAGGAAAGGAAAGGAAAGGAAAGGAAAGGAAAGGAAAGGAAAAAGGCTGATGATGCAGCTGGATTCTTGCCCCTGAAATGCCTAATGCATTTTGATACCTGGAGAAGCTCCGCCTTGAGTAATGAGCCTTTGCCATGAATGACAAAGTGTAAGTACACTTCATGATCTTGCCAGGATTAATGTCATAGAAAGAGTTAGAAGATCAGGATAGCTAAACAGGGATCTTGTTCTGGTAATTTAAGAACAGGTTCTGTGCTCAAAAAATATAGAATGGTCATAGCCATATGCATAGCAGATAATTTCAACTTTTGAACAGTCATCTGCTAAGAATAAGATATTTTATTCAACATTTACATTAAGAGTGGTGTTATACATGGTACTAGGAAATGTTTAAATTATTAAAACTGCCAGGGAATAAGAACTTCTCCAGCTGCATGTCCATGCATGACAGTTCTTGATAGTGTTGTGACATGAGCAGAAAGTGGGCAAATCCTGTCTCTCTTTGTTTAGATCAGTGATTTTGAACAACACAAAGCGAGAATAGCAGCAGTTTGGCACAATAATCTGGTGTAAATGACCCTCTCCTCCAGAAGAAGGCAGGTGCAAGTGAGGCACTGTGATGGCAGGTGTCTAGAAGTTTCTATGCTCCTGCTGAGGTGGGCACTGTTTGTCATTTGGAGAATGTATTGCTATTCACCTTCTCCTAACACATAAAGAAAAAACAAAATAATTACTGTGTGGAGGTTAACTGAGTATCGAATGCAGGAAAGGCATATGGACACAAGGGAACTTTAATTACTTGGATTGTGAGCAAGGTTTACTATACCAATATTGAGAATTAAAGTGAAATAGCTGAATGTGGGGATGTTTTATCACACTATCACCCAAGTTTATTACTGAGAAAGAATTACTGAGTCCAAGAGTAATGCAGTGGCAGCACTTGATACAGAAATATTACATGAGTTAACCTTTGTAAAGATCTCAGTCACTTAAAATTGCCTTTTGATGTTACAGTATGAATATTGTAGCTTTGTCATCCCAGAAGCTGTGGGGAAGGATTGGAAGAAGAAATCTTCAGAAGTACTAGGACAGTGACTTTCCCTCAATCTCACTGGGGTGGTGGTATCTAGGGCAGACACAACCAGGATAATGCAGAAATCTTGTCTGTGCACAGCAGCTCAGCCTGCTCACAGCCACCTCTCACCCATCACACCACAGTCACCAGCCATTCTGCACTTCTGGCCTTCATCTCTGCCACAGGCTCACCATGTTTGCATGTCACAACTCTTCATCCATTCTGATTCTGGTCAGCATCTTTAGTGAAGGCAGCAAGAGCCTGCTCTTAGAGTCTTTCTGTTCCTCTCCTAGCCCTCTCCTTGCCCTGGCCCTGCACAGACCCCAAGGCTGTGATTGCTCTTGCATGGGGAGAAGAGCTGCTGTGCAGGTGAGAAGCTCCTGAAAAGCTCCCCAGCTGCTCTCAGCTGAACTGGAGTCTGACAGTCCAGCAGGGCAACCACAGCTCTGGAGATGATAGTGTGGATAACTAGAGAGGGAAGAGCAATGTCCTTGAGCCTTACAGAGCCTGTCATAAGGAGCTTGTAATCGTCTTCTTCAAAGGGAGTGAAGCTTAGGTTGTATGTGAGGTGGGTAGACAACAGACACATCCCTCCCAGTTCAGCCCATGATCAGAAGTGCCTCTGCACAGGTCTAAAAGGCTCCACAGAGCAGTGAGAGCACAAGGTCAAAGCGTCTTTTTTTGCTCTCTGCTGAACTGTTTGTTTGTGGAAGGACCTGGCCACAAATGGATAATGGATTGTACAAAACGCTGCATTTGAGTAAAACTTGCTAATCTAGTTTTCTGCCAGAATTCCAAGAATCTCAGATGATCGTAACTCAGTGCCAACTAAAACCATTCAGGCATGGATTTTAAATATGTAAGCAGCATTACTGAAAATCACATGCACAGCCACGACATATTAATGACTGAGGAGGCACTAGGGGACCAGGAGACACAGTGATGGCAGATAAAAGAAAGCAAAGACTGAAGCAAAGAAGAGCCCAAGTTTATTTACTTTAGTCTTCAAGACTTTAAATGTTTTTCTGTTCTCTATTAGCCATTCACACCTCACTGGCACATAAGATACATGGCTGTTTTTTCCCCAAATAGACTTTCCATTCCATTGTCCAGACTTGCAGTCTAGAATCAATCCCAGGCTTGAAAATGTGGTTTGGTGAGCAGACTATTGCAGAGACCTTGTATCATCTGTACAAAACTGTTACTGTTGGACAGAGAAATTACAGTGCTGCTGGACACCAAGATTTTATATGAAAATGAACAAGAATATTTTTCATTTCAAAAGTAAAAAAGCCCCACATTGTTTATGCGTTCTTCCAGATGAATGCAGGCATTGGTACAGCTTTTTATTATTATTTTTAGATTTCTTTCTTTAGATGGGTTCATGGTACTAGAGGTCAGTGAAGCAGTAGTGATGAATGCACTATAAAACACAGTAAAGAAGTTCTGAGTTTAGCATTGTTTGTCCTGGCTAAGATTCATGTATTTCAGTCTTGAAGTTAAATGTTCCAGTAGGAAAAAGTAAATCCCAGATTAGCCAAGCTTCTGCAGTAGTAAAATTAATCTCTTTGCCCCACACTGAATTTTCTCATGAGAAATAATTTCAGCCTCTATGGCAGGAGATGTATGCCACAGCTTGGAAACAATTGTATATCATGACTGAAGACCAGACTGCCTTTGGTCTATGACTTCTGCATACACCAGGACTGGGGGAAGTTAGTTCAATTTTCTTGGTCAAACCCAGATTAGTGCCCCCTTTGGAAGGCCCTAATACCAACTTGGCATTAGTCTGTTGCTGTTTTTCTATAGGTTTTGTGCCTTATATGTCTACAAATTTTGTAACTGCAGAAATAAATGTGAGGAAGGGGGTCACAATCCTTTTATCTTCTCCTGACCTAGCCCAGCCCAGCCCAGCCCAGCCCAGCCCAGCCCAGGTACTTGAGTAAATAAACTTTGCTGGGTGTTTATGGATAATGTGCTGTTGCAAGTAGCACCAAACTGTCTTGAGCTTGTATTAGAGAGGTGTCATCTTTGACACTGCTTGCCTTAATGTGAAATTCTAAAAAAACCTTCCCTAAATAAAATTTCCTACAAGAAAATATTGAGAGAGTTTTTCAGCACTCCTGCCACTGACAATCTGCAAATCTAAAGCAGACGCAATGATTTTGAAAATGGATGTAATGTGAAAAGTACCCAAGCACCAATAAAACCACTCAACCACTCTCAACATGTCTGAGAAATCTTCATCCTCACAGTCATTTGTTTTTACTGCTTGACATTGTTTTTACAATATCATGCCTGATTTGTATTTCTGATCAGCTGCTCCACCAAGAAGTCATCAATCACTCATACTGGCAACCAGATGCCTCAGATGTATTCCTCGGTGCATACCTTGAGAATTGTGTTCTTGGGGTTGTAAAGGTGCACATGCTCTTTTGACATTGTAGCATTGCCAAAAGTACTTTGCAATTAGAGTTGGTTGATGAAACTAAGAAACTGATACACTTGAAGATACTTTGTTTTCAGTGCATTTTATTGCGGCCTCTCCTCATATTTAACATTGCTAGAACCTTTAATCTAGACAAATCTGGGTGTTCTCATTAGAGATGGAGAATCAACCTTTTGCACTAAAGCTATAAAACATTAAGGGAATTTGTTTTGCAAAATCTAATCTGAAAAAAATGGAGTGACACTGAGGAGAGCGAAGAAAGTGATGTTCAAGACCAAGATTTTGGGGTAACACATTGTTTGGAGGCCAGTGAGGAGACACTGGAGTACTGTTTGCACACAGTGATGCAGTCACTCCTACAGGCAGAGGATGCTTCAAAAACTGCCTCACTCATCTCTACTTTCTTGACAGCAGGTCCTTCATACTAGGGAGTATCAGAAATTTTCTTTGTTTCCAGGGCATGGATATTATAGAGTGATGACAGTAAGGCAGAAGGAGGAAGGTGATAGTAGCCCCCAGATACTGGGGACAGAAATGTGTTAGAAAAAGAGCTGTGCAAGTCTTCAACTTTGTTTAGTTGGATGCATGAAACCGTGAACTTCTGTAGCATGATCTTTACAGTTCTCATTTCGTGTTGGGTTCTGATGTGATTAGCTGCTCACATTTTGCCATTCTCTTTCATGCCTCCTGAGGAGCCTTGCTATAGAACTGCAGCTGAGGCCTCTCATCTTTTTTATTCTTCAATTTCTCTGTACATTCACACAGGGAGCCAGCCAGAGGCAAATGTACAGAGATGTTGACAAGTGGTGGTAGAATTTAATACTCTCTTATATCCTGAATGTTATCAAATCAGCCAGTAACACCTTATCAATAAGATAACTTGTTTCCAGTCTCTATCAAAACATAGTGTAGTCTTGTCATTATATGGAATTTTCTGGTTTCTAATAATATACATGGATAAACAGGAGCAAAATATCTCTCTATGTTGACTTACTGAGCATCACATAGTTTGTTCTGTATCTAATTCATCTGCTCTGGATTGAAAATGAACTTTTTAATAGACTTCCTAGCTTTGCTAAGATACACAGTGTTTTATTTTGCTACAGTTGAATGCTCTTGATGTGTTGAAAAAGCTTTTTTCTGCCAACCATCTTTGGAAAATTGCTGCAGGAATTTAAATGATCCTTGACATATTTTAACCTGCTATTTTTTTGTAAAAAAATAGTAAAGTGCATTTAAAACCCACTGTAGGTGTATATACATATATATGATCTAGCTGTAAGAGAATGGGAAAGATCTTTGCCTCAAGGGTTTTTATTTCTCAATTGCTACACGTGAAACATTGGCAGTAAAAAGGCCAGTGCTAATCCTCGAAGGACCACAAGTAATTGCACTCCTCCACCTCTGACAGTGCTACCAGAGATGGATTTGCCATGGCTCGGGCCTGAGCTCCCCCTTGCATTCTTCAGGCAGATCCCTGAATATCTTCTCTGCTTCTTAGTGAGTACTGTGGTCCTTCCTGCTGTTCTGGGGCAGGAAGGGGAGTAAAGCATTTTTCTCCTTTACTTAGACCTCCATCTCAAACTTGCAGATAGTAAGGCAAGAGTGTCATGCCTGTACCTCATTAGGTGCCATCTGCTTTGTAATGGTAACACACCTGATTAATCTGCTCAGAGATATTCCAGTCACACTCTGCACAGAGCTGTCAGAAATGCACACCACTGCTTGTGTGAAAAGCAGTGCAACTGCAACTTGGTGTGGTTTCAAAGTTTGTACTGCAACATCTGCATTAATGAACAGCAGCGTGACTATTTTACAAGTTCTGCTCATTTTCTGCATTTCATGTACTTACCTCACCATTGAAAAAGCAGAATATGGTAGCCACAAGTAAGCCCTAAGAGAAGGAAAAGAAAAGAGTTTAGGGATCAGAATATATAGACTTCATCATATTTTGGAAATTTGGACCTGATGGACACAAGATAAAACAGCGATCCACTTCCTCTGCATTACAGACACTTCCCATCTTTCACAGGTATGCTATTAAATGGATTTTTTGTCTTTTCATAATGTTTTACCACTTTCCCCCCCTATATTACTAGATTTTATAGATTATCTGTTATGGCTATGAAGTTATTTATGTATAAGAGATGTAGAGAAGGAAAATAAAAGGTAGGTATATGTTTTGCTTACAGAGGAGAACCACACTGCCACTGATTCTGCTGAAGAGCGGGTAGAGGAATTTTGTCCTCTACTTTGCCACTCATTCATCAGAGTGTAGTTATCCAGTCAAAAGTGTCAGACACAGAGAGTCCAGCTGTCCCAGGAAGGCTTTAAATTGAACTGTATGTCAGGGTAAGTGAACTGGTGTGTTGGGCATCACAATGGATGGAGAGGATATGAGAAGAGGTGTAAGTGGCCAGAAAAAGGAATAAAACCGTCACAGCTCACGAGTTAGAAGGTAGGGAGGCAGAAAAAAAAAAGAAACACTGCACATCATAGCTTGGTTGTAGATGGCTTTAAGTTAATTTCATCACCACTACAGTTGTTCAGATAGCATTTCACTACTGCTATGAGATTAAACAGGGCCAAGGCAGGAATATGAGATGAGAAAGTGTGAAATTAATAAGAGACCAAATCCTTGCACAGAGAGCCTGCCATTCAGGATTATGTAGTTACACTGGTCCATGTCCTGACTGCATTCACTCTTATTAAAATAGCTTTGCATAGCATCACTGGGAGCCAAATGCCTTCATTTTAAATTACTTAAAGCAATTATTATAAACTAAACGTATGGCAGTTTGTGAAATTGAGGAGAAAACTGCAATGCAGCTTATGCTCCCAAGGGCTGCTTTGAAGAGCTTTACAGCTGTAGCTTTCCTATAAAACCTTCATTTAAATGATTACCAGTTGAACTATAGATAATGCTTTGCAAAATGTCTTGAACTCTCGGATGCATATTTTGCATCACAAACAGGATAAGCAATAACTTTTTACAAAATGCTTATATGCAGATACACAGGCTGTTTTGGACAAGTGCTGACCATTTCAATATTAACAATTATTTTTCTCTAATAGACTTTCTCTGATGCAGAATTTGTAATTTGACATAAATTCAAATATCAACATGAAACAGCATGTAGGAGGATGGAGGGTAGACATAGTGAGAAAAAAAGTTTCTTTTCATATTTTGGCAAAGCAGTGAGTATTGTCAAAAAAGCTCAAATGCCAGCGTGCAGTTAACAATGTGCAATAGCTTATCCATAAACTTGTTTGGGCTGAGAAGCTCCACAAATTCAAATAAAATCTTACAAATCTAAAGCAGGACTTCGCCAGAGCAGACACTCCTAAATCAAAATGTGCCAATTCCTCTCAGCCTGTACCGATGCTGTTTGTGCTGTGCTGCAGAAATGTGCACAGCTGGGCAAAACCTCTGCTCTGGAACTGCACTGTGCACCCTTGCAGCAGGGGTCTGTTGTTGTGCTAAATGTGATTTCACTAACAGCACTCAGCCATAATTGCAAACCAGATGGATCTTGATCTCCTCTGGGATCAGGGATGCTCAATGGACAGTCTACATGAGGCATGGAAAATCAGGAGACAGAAGGGGGAGAGAAAGAAGTAGAGAAGCTTTTTCAAGTTTGCTCTTCAGTGAGAGTGTTTAGGGAGACTGTAGGAACCTCAGTTCAGAAATTGAACCTGAACTATTGAAGTGAAGCCATTTTCCATTTCAGTTCCTGCAATTGCTCCACTTTTCTGTTATTCAACAGTGTAGTTTCCCTAACTAATGTTTTCTACTGTCAACTTCTGACAGAAAAGCTGAAGAGGAAGGTGAAGTGATGCCTCATATACCTTTCAGTTTTTCTTCTAGTTTAGGGTGAGCTGAAAGTACACCTGGTTTCTTGTTATTTTGAGACCATGTATGTTGTACATGTTCTGGCTGAAGAAATTATTTTCTTTAGTCTGTTCCATGTATATCTCATTGCTCTTCTTCCACCTGCCATGGCGCTCTGGACTCTGCCATCTATCTTTCTTCTATTATTTCTATTTCTATTTCTATTTCTATTTCTATTTCTATTTCTATTTCTATTTCTATTTCTATTTCTATCTCTTCTTTTTATACATAAGGTTTTGCCCATTGCTCAGAGGGCTGTTGTTATCTTCAGCTGTAAGGCTACAGACATTCCAGTGGCAGACACCAGCTTTGTCTATCTGGAGCCAGGAGGGCTTGGGATGAACACAATTCTACAGTGGATCTATTAAAACATGTGACAGACTACATGTAGGTTAATCATTTAGTTTAAGGCCCATGGGTTATTTCTCATATCTCTTTGACACATATCTTCCAAATTCTAACTGTTACTGGTTTTTGCTGAGGATACAATTCTTGCTGAGGATGAGATGTCTGAGTCAATTATATCTCTCTGCCACTGTGTGGAGTTGTTAAACTAACCTGTGATATATTGTCTGCTCCCAGCAAGATAACGTTGGCTGTGGTGTTGAAAGCAAAAATGAAGAATATATTTATTTTAAGATGAGGGCCTTTAATGACTTCTTCTGAAATTCTTTATTTCTGAAACTGTGTGAAGAACAAATGAATGTGGCTTTCAGCTGAATCATGCCATAGTGATTGTTCAAAAACAGCAACTCTCAGACCTTCACATACCTTATTAAAATTATAGTGAGTTTTTTCCAGTGTTTAAGTGATTATACTGGTCTAAGTAAATTTTTGCTTCACAGGTACTTAATTTGTATCTCACTCTCCTAGAAGACATGAGTGCCTTGAAGAGAAATACAAGTAATTTGCTCGGCTGAAAAATAAACAAATGAAAAATACCTATGCAGATTCTGCAAATTTACATAGATTTCTCACACCTCCTTTTATTTTTTTATTCGAGCTTACATCTCCATTAAACCAAAAAAACATATATAGCTATACTTATTTCTGCTGCTCCTGACTATGTGCAGGACTCTAGTTTCTGCCCTAATCAACTATATACTGTGTTGCTATTAAGATTTTAGTGGGGTTATATATTCATTATTGATGGTAGAAGATAATGGTTAAAATATAAAAATGAGTTTTTTATTCTCTATGTGGACTTTGTTCCATGTCCATTCACTTCTCACTTCTGGAGCTGAATGGACAGCAAAAAAAAAAAAAAAGCATGGCTGAGGTTATTAATAGAAGTACATCCCATTCCCACCTCTCTCATTTTGGCAAAGATAAAAAGCTTTGAGAAAAACAGCAGTGCATTTCTCACCACCTTCACTCACAGCACACTTATACAGCATCTCTGAGGTAAATGACTGGGTTATGAATTGATAATTTATGTTACAGGAAAAAAAATCAGCAAAGCAAAGAATGTGTCTGTGCAGTTTCTGCTGCCACTGAGGTGGGGAGATTGCCATGAGAGGGCTGAAGGCAGCACCTGCTGCAAAATGATAGAGACATCCCAAAGCTCGTGCTTTGCTTCTTCTCCTGCTCTCTATGGGGGTTTCTTTGCTGTCATTTTTTGCATGAAATTTTCAAATAAAGGTGCCACTTTATTATATCCAGCTTACAAAAAATATTTTGCCTAACCTTAATTGGCTCAAAATATTAAAAAAAATTTAAAGTACTAACAATTCAAAGAGAAAAAAAAAAAAGAACAGAAAATCAGGAAAAAATGCTTATGTTGTCAAAAGCAGTTGTATAACCTTAAGTTTGAACAGAAGGAGAAAATATTTCTGCCTGGTTTGGCATTACAGAGGATATTTATTTCCTTTTAAACTGAGAAACAGATGGAATGAATACCTTCTAAAATACATTGAAATTTCTCACTATTTTTAACAGGCTACTTTTAAATGGGTTAATTTTGTTCCATATAAGGCTGCATAGAAAGCTGAATTTAAAACTTGGAGGCAATGTGGGTATATATTCAGTCCAAATCCAGGCCTACTCATTCAAAATATCCTTGTAGCAGACCAGGCACCTCTGAGCTGCATCCTCCTGCCTGGCAGGGTGGGTGCTGCAGTCCTGAGGGTGCAGCCTGGAAGCTGCTGAGTGCCACACAAGGGATGTCACTTGTGGAGAAAAAGACAGTGATTACTCTCTGCTCAGCTAAACAAACCATTTTCATTTGCCAATAAAAACCAAGGCTCTTGTGCTGCATAGCATTTTAATTTCTCATTAGAGGTAGACTTACATATTTAGAGCCTCAGTCACCAAGGTATTGAGAGGAGTAGCTTTAGCTGCTTGAGTGTTGCTGTTGATCCAGGGGCTGCTCCTCCACCCCTCCCTCACAGACCTCCATGGCTCTCTCTTCTTTGCACAGTGACAGTGCCATTTTATGTAACCTGACAGGCTCTAAAAAACCTGCCTTGAAGGTGCTGGAGATAGAATGGGACAATTGGTGTAGGGAGATGAAAAGCTGAGGCTTATTAATCCCTGGGCTGGTTTGAGAGCTCTGGAAGGGCTGTGTCTATATGTGGGACTAAGTGATGCATCATGCAGTTCATTTTCTACTCCTCTTTTTTTCTTGTGAGGCATTTACTATGGGCCAATGTCAGAGATCAGAAGCTCAGTAGCAGAACCTCTGACAGAAGCACAGCACCCCAATCTCTTTACAGCCTGAGACTTCTCCAAAGATTTTCAGCGGTTCCAAGGATGAAAGAAGAGTCAGCTCCAGCCCCAGCTCAGGCAGAGGTGCAGGAGGCCCTGCCAGGTTCTCAGGCACAAGCCACATCTCTCTTGCTCTGTCTCAGAATGGAGACCTGAATGCAGCTACATGCAGGACCTAGGGCTGCTGTTGCTCCACTCCTTCACAGGAGGCATTCCCTTTGCCCAGGTGTACCATTTTGTCTTCACTGGGCAGCATGATGGGGTTGTCAGGCTTTTGACAGATGTGTTCTCATGCCAAAGGTGTGCAAGGAGCTGGCATATCCAGTACCCTAATGCTTTACAGCCTGAGGAAGTTTGCATCTTTAATGTGCTTTCAGCATCATCTACCAAGATTTGCAAATCAGGTCCTTTAGGGTAGATCTGCAACTCACTGACTTTTGTGGAGTGCAAATGTTTGCTTTGTGGTGCCTAATTTAGGAGCTCTGTGAAATAAGAGAGCTGTGTGTGTTCATCAATGTATCTACAGCATGCAGGTCATTCCAACTGAGGTGTGCTGGTTTTGTGTAGGGCAGAGTTAATTTTCTTCATAGTAGCTACTACAAGGCTTTGCTGTGGATGTGGGCTGGATGCAGTGTTGATAATGCAGGGATGTTTTAGCTATGGCTGAGCAGGACCTCCAAAAAAAGGCCTTTGCTGCTTTTCATCTCACACCACCTTGAGTGGGCTGGAATTGGATATAGCTGGGGATAGTTGAACCCAGCTGATCCAAGGAATATCCCAGATTATATGGCATCATGATCAGCATATAAAATGGGAGAAGAAGAAAAAGGGAGATGTTTGGAGTGCTAGCTTTTTGTGTTCCAGGTAATTTATATGTGTGATGGAGCCCTGTTTCCTTGAGGATGGCTGAACAGCAGCCTGGCCATGAGAAAGTGAGAATGAATTATTTTGCTTTGCTTGCATATGTGTCTTTTGCTGTATCTACTAAACTGTCTTTATCTCAACCCATGAGTTTTCCCTGTTTTCACTTTTACCCTTCCAGCTCTCTCCTCCATGCCAGTGCAGAGTGAGTGAGTGACTCTGTGGGGCTGATGCCAGCTGGGGTTAAACCACAACATAACAGTTGAAATGTCATTCTCTTGCCTGGTGTGCCTTTCTTTTCAGCATTCTGGAGACTAAAGAGCTGATATTGGTGATGGTCAGAAGAGAAATGTACCTCTACATTTAGAGGATTAATGGGAAGTTGGTTAGCTGGTCTGGAAAAGTATATGCATTCCCATTTGTAGCACAAAAGCCAGCATTCCATTTTTTTATCATTTATGTACCTGTTCTTCAGAGCTGTTAAGAAGAATCTGGTCTACTGTATGAAAGATATATGCAGTAGACATTCAGTGTTTGTGAATTGTTCATACAGAACATTTGAAAAACCACTTCTGCTTAAAATGGTGAGCATTGATGACACATCACAAAAAGAGTGGGACAGATCAAAATCAGACTTCTGCTGTTATTCAGAAGTGACTTCAGCAGAGGAAGCCTAACTTGCTGATAAATAAAATAAAATACTGGTATGTTGTTTTTCAACCAGAAAAACGACTCTCTGAAAGAAATACCATTATATGGGTTTTTTGTGAACAAGTTTTTTCTTATCTTCAATCCTCTGAGTTTGACAATAGACTTCAGTGCTTGTTTGCACCATTTCTGTGTACATGAATTATATAACTAACACATCAATCCTTCATGTTCACTTAAAGTAATGTACTGTGAAAACCTGTCTCTCTTTCTGTTTGAGAAAAGGCATAAAATTTTCTCATTTAACCAGTGCAGAAATGAAGAATGTATAACATTTTGCACCAAAAAAAGATTGGTAATTTTTCCCAGGATGCCTGCTTTTACATGACTGACATTGCATGAGCTGCAAAACCCCACGGGCTGTTGCTGGTGTCTGCACAGGCTGGCTGTGCTGTGGGTCATGGGAGTGCAGTAGCTAAGGGGAAACACAGCCATCACACGAACTAATACAGGATCTGCTAATTACAGAACCAGCCCTAGAAGAAAATGAGCACCAGAGGAGTGATTATACAGCCAGTGATCGATCTTAAATATGCATATAAGAAATGTTAGGGAAAGGATTAAGACTGTTTATTTTAGGTTACAGTTAAAAACCCAGCCTAAGTGGAAAAGGGAGGGATTGCAGCTGACTGCAGCCAGCAGGACAACTGCACAGCCCTTCCCAAAGGCCAGATTCTAGCAGGAAGCACACACAGATTATACCTCAGAGGTGTCGAGAGCTCTTCTGTGCAAGCCGAAGGAACCCATCAGGGATGAAACTTTCCTGCCTTGGACCCCTCCCTCACCCAACCCCCATCATCAGTGCAGCCTCCATTTTAACCTCAGTTTGGTGACTTTCTATTGCATAATGATCACAATTGGAATTTTTAATTAAGGCAATTATAATTAATTTTGTGTTTCTTCAGCAACTGCACAGGACTTACAAGATATTTTAATAGTAAAGTGATTATTTTAACACTCTGTCTTATCCTAACTTGTTAGAACTATAATCAAATAAGTTGTCACCAAAAAATTAATTTGGAGATACTCCTTTATAGATTTTGTAAATGAAAAAGTTACAATGCAGGCAACAATAGAAGAAATGAGGCTGTCATTCCTTTTAAGTGGAACTGTAATACAAGATGTCATACACTTCAAAAGCAGACCTCTAACTTCAGTTATTCTGTCCATGCAGCAGCAGGAACATCCACAGTTTTGAAGGGATAAGGAGGATAAGCAGGATGTATAATCTGACAGGATGCATAGATTTCGGTAGCTTTATTTACCATTTCATTTAAGGAAAAAGCACTACTGATTTTTTTTAAAACTATTTTCTTATTAAAGCATTAAAATAATTTCTTTACTTACCTTCCATATGAATGGAAGCAGGAAGTAGGTCACCATAGTCACTCATGTTGACCACTACCCACAAATGCATTGAAAAACTGCCTTTCCAAGTCAATATAGGACTGGATATATTCCAGTCAGTCAACCAGATAACCCAGCATTTAAATTCATTTTGGTTTGGCTTGCTTTGCTTTCAAAAGAAAATAAACTAGACTTACTGAATGATGTATTTTTTCAGAGCATTTTTTAAATCAAAATGTCAATCTGATAATGGAATATGCCTAATAATGGAATTCTACCTCCCAAATGCAGCTCAGTTGTCTCTGGTTTTTCTTTTGTGTGTTGGCATTCCTTCTGAACAACAGTTTGCAAGTAATGCTTATTTTAATATTAAGGTCACAGCACTAGTTTCAGTTAATTTGAGCACTTCAACAGAACTTGTGCTGGAACACAAAAGCCCTCTGTGAAATCAGTTTTCTCTCCATAGTTTAGAAATAGTGTAAACTGATAATTTTGGTGACTTATTACACTGTTTCCCCTATCTTGTCTCAGTTCTTCACACAGTGGTGCCACTTATTTAAATGCAGATAATCCAATACTGAGAAATGGTTGGAAAAGAACTGGAAACCCAGTTATTTTCAGCTTCAGGGAAAAACCCCTAGCAACAGTATCTTAGAGTAAATTAGCTTAACATCACACAATTCAACTACACTGAAGCTGCAACATACCTGGTAATGCATTAGTATATGCATGATGTAATCATATATTTCTCCAGCAAGTCGGTTTTCTGGTCTCCAGGGAATAATAACAAACTGAATTCCTAGTAAGGGCACCAGGATTAAAGTGGCTCTGACAGCTTTCATATACATGTTGGACTCAGCACGGTGGGTATCTCTCAGCTTTGTCACCAAAACTCGGACAATGTTAAGCAAAAAGAAAAAATTGACCTGCAAAAACAAAGCTCTTGTAGGTGAAAGCATTCAAATTAAACAGATGTTCAAAATAAAAATGCAAAGCACATAAATGGCAGTAAAGTGTAACTTTCTAGCTTTATTGTATCTCATCATGGGCAGCTCCTTGGCAGTCAGGTCTTGGAAAATATCCTATATTTTCAGGAAAGATCTGTTAAGTAGCTCTACATGCTTTGGAGCCTGCATGGATGCTTCAGGCAAGCAGAAGTCAATTCTAAGATGCTCTGGATGTTTTGACACTGATGTGGCAAATTCAAGGTTTCCAGGGAGTACTAAATATTATTTTTATATTGGAAGTTTAAATGGGGTGGACAAATAGTCCCCTAGAAATAACCAAGTCTCTGTCCTGAGTGTGACAGTTGCCAAGCTATTGCCAGGTGGGACAAACTCCACACAATTTCCCTAAGGATTATGCTCCATGGACTAGTGCTTCAGGCCTGTGTGTGAGCAGGGGTGTAAGGCTGTTCTTTAGGAAAACCTAGGCCAGCCCTTGCCTCCAGCAGACAGCAGGGACCCCGTGGTTCTCTACCCCCAGGGAACAGGCAACAGCTGCTGTCTCAGGGCAGAAACGTCAGACACCTGAAAATTTTGCCCCTGACCCTTATGATCAGTGATACCAAGTAGTTCAGCACCTCCTCAGTTATTTCTGGAAATCTGATCTGAGCATAGAGTAATCTGCCCTTGACCCTGGCTTCACAGAGAGCTCCTTGTGGGATGTGCTGAGAGCCTGCAGGAGGAGGGAGGGCAGACCCAGGCTGATAATGAGCTCAGTGGTCTCTCTGTGCACATCCCTGGCATCACAGAGCCTCTCGGACTCCAGTGTACCCAGATCTTTCTTTTCCACTCTCCTACAGGAAAATCAGGCACTGACACTTTTGAACTTTTAACAGACTTTCTTTTTTCCTGCTTGAAATAATTATGTAACTTGTATAATTTCCATAGATATTTCGAGAGATAAAATCACATCTATATACCAGAAATTTCAGCTGATTTTTTTCAGAACACTGAATCAGCAAGCTCTGGTAAAACATTTCATCACTTCTAAACTACGCTGGGAGGCCTTTCAACTGTTTTACATTTGTACTGTACTTGAAAAGAGGAATAATAAATTACTTCTGAGGTCCCATTCAACATTAAATCTAAACCTTATTCTCCGTCCTATTCTGATTTCACTCACTCTGCTTAACCTTCACTTTTAGATTTTCTGAAAGCAACTGTGAAAAGTCAAAGGAATTCTTTACAAAGTTAAAAACTCTCAACTCTCCTGAATCAGTCTGCCACCAAGGGATTTTTTTGTAGCAAATCAAGTAGGACATACTGTAGGCATTGACATCTTCATAAGAAAAATAAGACTAGAAATTACATAAGCACAATACAGAAATGATAATGTCTTATTTTGAAAACAGCAAAAGGTTGATCTTTTCCCGTAATAGTTGCTTCTTTTTTCTTTGTGGCCAAGATGTACAGATGGGGATCACAATGATAAAAAGAAAGGTTAAATGTCCTTTCTCAGATGGTAATTGGCACTGCAATAGCAGATACAGTCAAGATTGAACCGATAAATCCACAATAAATGTGATTCTATGGAACCAAGAGACTGCCTATAATGCAGGGAAGGATGGACTATTTCACACAGCTGTTAAAGACTGCTTCTCCAGAAAGGGTAGAAAGATCTTTTGTGTTTTCAGCTATTCTATGGAAAGGTGTTTATTCAAAGGTGTTCCCAGTACTCACTGTGCTATTGTTTGATCTCTGAAGTAATTATTGCAGAGACCCACACAGGTGTTTGCAAGTAAGAGGAAAAAGATGAAAGTTCATCTTGGGTGACACAATTAGATGAGCTTGGGGCTTGGGCTGAATAAAACCCTTTCTGCACCTGTCAGGAAGGTCAGGGTTACCATGCCAAACTGCATGGCTGGCATGCCAGATGTTGTATGCATGCACATTGCCAAGCTGCACTTTGAATCTTATCCTCCTACTCAGACATCCCAGTCCAGTTCTTTCCCCTGGACTATTTTAGCTCCCTACTTTTGGACCATACCAGCTCAGTGACCAGCAAAACCCATGCTGAGCAACCAGCTCACCCCAGCTAAGGCAGAGTTAAATGATTGATGTCACATAAATGCAGTGGATTTATCTCAAGTCCCACTGCAAAGAAGTGTTGTGAGCCTGTCCTTTGTAACACTGAGTAGAGAAAACCTCTAGATACTTCTGAGTTTTGACCAAAATATTTAGTATAGAAGTACAGAAGCTTCTACTTTTTTCAGGTTAGTAGCATTTCTAAAATAATTATTATACGATAATAATTGTATAATATTCAAACAGTAGCAAACAATATTCTTACCAATAAAGCTGCCATTACAGGTCCATGAACAATATAAAGCAAGTGTGTGTCAACACTCATCCAGCAGCTGGAGGAGAAATACAGCATTAGCATTTGTTATTAACTTGAATAAAATTTGCTGCACAGTTAAACAATGCTAAGTTCCTTCAAAAGCATGCTACTCACTTGTCATTGAAGTATCTGGCTCTTGCAACTGCGTGAATGGATGCTGGCACTAAAGGGAACCCTGGAATTATTAAAGTCACAGATCAGTCTTGGTACTTGTTTAGCTTTAATTTCATGTGTGTCACACGCTAATAAGTCTCTTGTTCACAAAGTGTATGGATGTGAAATCACATCTTTCAGGAAAGAACTTATCCCGTCACGCCCAGATCCTGACAACACCTCAATGGTGAGATGCAAAAGGGACTAACATTCAAGGCAAGCCAAAAGGAGAAGCAAAACCCACAGACCATGCTCTCCTGGCGTGTCTGAAAGCTGCTGCCAGGCTCCCCTGCCCTGCTGAGGCTTTTGCAGGGAAGGGTGTGAGCAGGCAGTGTGGGAAGGATGTAGGGATCATTCTGTTCTCAGAGGAGTCCTCCCTCAGGAAACCAGGGACACTTGTAAAAATCATGTAAATAACTGTTGAGCAAGAGAGAGGCACGTTGACTTGCATGCCAGATTATGGAGCAATAAGAAACAGAGTGAAGAGTTTCTCTTTTGGAGCCGGTGCCATGAAAAAGTGTTTGGAGCCAGGAGGTTTTTGGGGGATGGGAATTTGTGATATCTTCTATAGGTTCTCAGCTTCTGTGCAGCCAAGCCCACTCCATGTAGCTTTATCTCAACAGGGAGAAGAGCTGTGAATACCATAAATCCACATATCCTGACTTATTTGTGACACCTCAAAGGAGGCTTTTGACAGGGAGCTGATGGGAGCAAATTTGCACTGGGCTTGGCAACATATCATGCTTAACAAAGTTGAAAGCTCAAGTTCTTATTTCACTAAGAGTGACAGTCTGGTCTACTCCTTTTGATTTCCCTTCAGCTTGCTTAAATGTCATCTCCCTCTCCAATAGGCTAGAAACCCGGAATGGGGAGCCTGCACTGCAGGGCTGACCCCAGATTGTACAGCCTTGCACACACAGACCACTGGATATGGTCTTGTCTGTCCTGTGCAGAGAGCTTGGTGCACAACTTTGGTGCTACTGCTGCCTGTTCTCTGTGAACCACAGACCTTTCTACTGAGCTTTGGATATTCTATAATTATAAATGAAAAGGTGTGGAAATATCCCATTGATACCACGATTAATCACAGAGGGATTAAAAGAACACAGCTCCTGTTTTTATCACATGTTAGTGGTTTCATAAAAATATTTAGAAGAGATGGAGGATCCTTAGTTATATTGTGGGGAGTGTGAATAAGCTCCAAAGATACATAAATAGGACACTCTCATGTTTACAGGTAACTCTGAGCAATAGCTATTTACTCTACTGCCAAAAAGAGTTCTTATTACAATTTACCTTAGGAGGACAATGCAGCTGTGGGAGATCAAACTGGATTGCTTTCTCCTTTATATGTTTTTAGAAAATGATGCCTTGGCCTCTGGCTGCAGAATTCCCTTTTTTGGGTGATGATGCACAGCAAAACAAAAAAAAGCTCAGAATAAAAAGAGAGGAGCTTATGACCTCAGGGTGAGCTCATGGGATTGACAGCTTGAGAAAATAATTTTGATTGGGAAATGGAGCAAGTCTGGGCCAGTTCTACTGACAGATTGAAATGCAGTTTTTAAGGGGTCTTTCTGTAATAGCAAGACTTCTTCAGCTGAAAACTGTGGCCTGGAGTATTGCAAGTAGAACATGCCACATGATGCAAAAAGATCTTTTTTCTTCTGCTAAATGCATTAGCCTAGGATATTTAGCCCAATAAACTCAAAAGCAAATCTCAAGAATGCAGTGGAAAGTCTTCGTTTGTTAGTTACAGTCTAGGAAGCTCACGACTCTCTGAAGCTCAGATTTCCAGCTGCAGGCTGGATGGACTCTTCTAGGGCTAAATATTTCTCTTGCAAAGGGCCAAAAAGCAGAGAGTTATGGAAAAGTGGAGCTTCAAAGACTGTAGGGTCGTGGTTATGTGTATCACTAAAGAGTCCCATCTACACAGGAGCAGTGAACAATGCAGAGAAGGTCCCCAGCCATGCCAGGGCCAGATATGACACTTCCCTTTAGGTCATGCCAGGTCCTTTACAGCACGAACTGGCAATTAGGTCAGTATTCCCAGGGCAATTTGGAAGGCACTCAGTTACTGAGTTTCAGCACTGTCCAATAAGTTATTCCCTTTTCACTTTTGTGCGAAGCTGCCTGAAGCAGCCAGAGTGAGCTGTACTGAACTGCAGTGTGGCACACAGTTGATACTGTTTTCTTATCCTGAATAACAGTGATTTCCTGACCCAGTGAAACAATAACAAATAAGAAATTACATCCCCAGCAGCAGTTCCCAGAGAAGGGGTCACCTGGTGGCATCAGCCTTGAAACACATCTGCCCATGTCAGATTTCATTCAGTCGCCTCAAACCTATTGTAGATTTTTTGTATTTGCTCAGATTTTTTTTTTTCTTATAAGCCATTTTACAAATGGCATTAGTGGTTTTCCAAATAAAGTAGGCTAGATCTTCTTGCATAGGGACTAGCAATAGCAATAAATAATGAGTAAATTCATCTTGGACATTTGCCTTGATCTCTTGAATTGTAATTCAGAGCACAGCCTGCTCTGGTTCTTCTATATTGACCTTTGGAGAAATGTATCTCTGTCCACTGATTAACATAGATGGATGTCTAAAATTTGACTGTGTTACTACTCCTTCTGGAATCAGAGGAATTACAATGATTCATGCAAACTTAAGAGGTCACTAGATTGTTGTAATCAGACCATTTTGCTATTATTAATATTTCTACTTTAGTTAGATATTTCTACTTTAGTTAGGAGGTGCTAATAATTACTTTTTTTTTCTTTTTTCTTTTTTTTTTTTTTTTAAGTATCAATCTAATTTCGTTAAAAAAAGGCTACAGGCACCATTGTCAAGAGTTATGTCTATTTTAAATAACTTTTTCCTTTTCAAGATATCAGTGCCCTATTACCATAGCCACTACCCTGTTTTATTTTTGGGCAGCTCTGCAGATACTGATGCATGTTTTATCAGGTAATTTCACCGAATTCCCCACCATACTGCTGGTGCCATTCTCAGCACTATTACAGGTGGCTTCTTAGCTTTCGTTGCAGTCTGGATGTCACAGGTGCATTAAATTGTACTGCCTAAATTGAATGGCACCAGGAAAAAAAAAGTCTATGACCATATTCCTCTTGCATAATTGGATATGGAGTGGCACTATTTTGGGAAGCCTTGTTCTGCAAGACATGAAAAAGCTTTGTCTGGAAGCAAATGTTTAAAAGGACTCATCACAGTGAGTTGCAGTTTCACAGACCTATGAGACTTTTTATATTCAAATATTCTGAGCTATGAGATTTCTGTGATAGCATGGCTGCTTGCTCCAAGAGGAATCTATTGGAGCTATTTGGATTGGCAAAGTCCAGAAACTCTAACTTGATTTAGGGCTCTTAGGAAGGTTGTCTTTATTTAAGAACTGACAACATATCACATATTTTTAATTCCAAAACCATTACAAGTCCCTCTCTTCTTAGAAAAGATTCCATTCTCATAAGAAAAAAGAGTGCATGCTGGAGATCTCATGAAGAAAAACCCAACAAACAAACAAAACCTACCAAAGACAAATTATTACATACCTGGAGACTGCCATCTGGCACTACAAACTATATAAACTAGAAAATCATGTTAGTTTCCTTGGTATCTAATGTAGTACCCAGAGAGCACTAAGTCTTGTATCATAAGAGGAAAGTAAATGTCCAGACTTTGAAATGAAAGTCCAGATAGGGGATAACTTTGCTGTTACTGCCTCTTTAGGATCAAATATTGGATGCCTAATGTGTGATGGAATATAGTGTTTTAAATTTCTTCAGAACATATAGAACTGGGTCATTTTCCTCTAATTACCTAGTTATCTAATTATCCATTAGTCTAATCTAAAAATTATTAATTTTTATTGGTTTAATCATAGGTCCATTTTTCTGTTTTCCTGCTGTAAACTAAATAATTTTGAAAAAGTAAAACTGTCAAAGAGGACAGCAAATATGGAATAAATGGTATCTGCCTCAGACAGGGATTGTAAGAACATCCCTGCCTGCCGTGGGACAATGGATAAAGGTCTATTTGCTGCTTTGCTGCACCAGTGGTTTCAAGATAGGGGAACTGCCTCACCAGAAATTGGAAAAAGGCCAGAGATTCATGGTTTCCAAATTGGAAAAAAGCTCTTGATATTGATTTTCTGTCAACACTGATGTGGACTGGATTTTAAATTGTGATTTAAATGTAAAAGATATTTCATTGTAATATACTGATTACATTTATATGGTCTTTTATTGGACCAGATAGACCAAAGGAAAAATATCTGCTGCTAACCCATAAAAAAGGCAAGGCATCCCTTAGTGAAGACAGAAGAGATTGCATATTTGGAGATGAAGAACCAGACCTAGTCATGGTTTCTTTGGCATATGCATGTGACCATATGCTGTTGGACAAAACCAGTCCTGACAGCAAAGCCACTAACTATTTAGTGGATAAAATAATTTTTTTCCTTTAAAACAACATATACCAAAATATATCTGATACTGGATTCACTTCCAAAGAAATTCTGGTTCCTCTTTTTGTATGCTGTGTTTGCTTCACTTTGTGAGACACAGATACTGATCATTCCTCTTGGTTCCAGGAAAATTATACTTTAAAGGTTCTGTCACGCATTCATGTTTTTACATATACGTGACAAAAATAAACAATTGTTTTTTTTCAGAAAAGGGATATACTTGAATAGAAATACATTTTCTCTCATAGCTGTTCTTTACGGAGCTTAAGCATTTCTTTCTGCAAATCCCAAGATGCAGCAAATAAAAAATACATTTTCGTGCTGTTTTTTGTAACTTTCTAAGCCCATGTAATTATATGCACTCAAATTTAGGGTCCAGAGTTGGGGTTAGCTCCAATAGAAGTGCAGAGGATCATGGCTTAAGGCCGTGGGGAAACGCTTTCAATAGGGGTGAGTAAAAACTCACCCCCAGAATCCTCCAGTTCCAGTATGTTGATCATTGCCAGAAAGTTCTCTGCTTCCCTTATTGCCATTGGTTCCTTTTTGCTGCAATCATTTTAATATTCCTAATTGCCCTTCCCTATTGGACCCTCTCCCTAAACTCTACCCTAATTCCTCCCCTCCTCCAAGTTTATAAATACCCCTGCCGTGCCCTAACACCTGCTTTTGCCCATTTGCCCTCATGCATGGAACTAGTCTCGCTGTACCATCTTTCCCAGTTCATTCAGGACAAACTGATGGCGTGCTGTTTGTTATTTTCCATTATTAAAGCTTTTTAGTTCCCAAACAATCAGGTCAGATTTTCTTTCTGCATAAAATCGCCGAGTTCAGTGGAGCCACTGACCCTAAAAATCGGAATGTACTGTCCATCTTGGTGCAAATGGTGGCATACATACCCCAGCCCAGGAGGTAATACCAGTGCAAGCGCTGCTCCTCAGCAAACACTGCCACCACGATCAGCGTGTGGAGATAAATGCCTTCGCAGAGCATCCAGAAGTAGTTGCAGCCCAGCATGTACTGATGAAAGAATTGCAGCACTTTGCAGCTTACCTGTCAGATAAATGAGACAAAGTCACACGCTTGACCAGCATTTTGCATTTAAGCAGGCAAAGACAAATGTTATTGTGAGGCTACAAGAAAAGCAAAGGGGAACAAAAATTCCCAGCTCTTTCTGCTTTTTGAGGTCTTTTTCAGCAGCTATGAGTGAGAAGGATTTTAAACTTTTATAAATGAGAATAACTAAAGGAATTAAATTAAATGAATTAAATTAAATTCATTAAATTAAACTAAATTAAACTAAATTAAAGTCCTCACAAAATAGAAGAGAATTATAACAATACTCCAAAAAGTACCACAAAAAAAATCCTTCAAAAGTCAGTAATCTGATGGGGTTTTTTGGAACTGAAACAAACAACTTGTTCTAGAGGTCCAAGGAGGGCTGTGAAAAAGACAGTAACTTCGAGCTCCAATTTGAGTGAGTTCCTTTTAATCAAACTTTTCTAAGTTCTTTTTCAGGTCTCTCTTCTAAGCCAGAGTCATTTACGTTTTAAACAGCCTCCAGCTCTGAAAATTTTTTCCATTTTGCCTTTGGAAAGTGCAAGTTTTGGTGGGAGCAGAGATTCTTTTTGTTGGGTACCAGGGATACTGTCTTTGCTGCTTTGTGAGGTGATGACAGCTTTGCTTCATTTTGATGAAATTACAAATTTACACGTGGAGCTAAATGGAGCTGGTGAAGCGGATCCCATGCATGGTTCAGATGAGGTTGCAGACATAGACCTTGGCAAGGGACTGTGGCTACAAATTTCTGGAAAGCAGTGGGCAGGTGGTGGAGGGAACCATGTTGTGTCCACTACTGGAGTGCCAGCTGGTGAGGGACAATGCTGCTCCTCTTCTGAATGGGTCTGGTGTCCATTTGCTGTCTTAGGGAGGGCAGTGAAGGCATCCTCCACCTGGACTTCCTTGTCACCACAACCCAGGAAGGCCAGGAGGAGTGGGCAGGGATTGCTGTGCTGACAGACACCCGCTGCTTCTGGGGAACACCACATGATACCTGGAACTCTGAGGTCATAGCAGTGATAGCAAAATCAACACCTGTGGCCACAGGAGAATGCTTCTTTCCCTTAACTTCTGCAGATATTTTCCAATCTGACGACCTGGGCTGCACAAGATATCATTAGGATTCATTTATCTCTTTCAAGAGACATTTTTGCAATTCAGCAGATAGGGGACTGCATGTTTTGCATTTGTCTGGACAGCCCCCTTGGATCAGAAAATCTCAGTCATCCAGTCCACCGCCTTCTGTTGCAGTCCACATCCAGTCCACAGCCATTCTGTTGAATAAAGAAAATTCCCAACTGCCCAAACATGTTTATTTAGTTCTGTTTCAATATTTGCAGTCCAGGTTGGTTTTCATGAAAATATAGCTTACTGATAGGTTAGGATGTAGGATTCTGACAATATTTGTGTGAAGAACTGATTTTTATTTTCTGGTAATTCATGTTTTCTTCTTGCCATGCAGGACAGAATAGACTGTTACTTCTTTTTTCCATACTGTGGCTGAACAGTTCTTAAAAGTGTGTCCAAAAGGGTTGTATACTGATCCCAACTCAACCCAAACCAAGCCACCATCAAAGCCACCACCACCAAAACAAATGATAGGGGAAGATGTATTTGCTCCTTTTTCTGCGGGCAAAAATGTTCATTAAGGCTCTTATATCATTCCTGGACTGTTTTTCACAGGTCTGGGTCAATGTGTTCATTGCCTTGTTTCCTAGCCCGTGCTCAATACAGCCTCCTAACAGGTGCCTTACCTTTCTCCCTTCTCCCCTTATTGATCACCTATCCCTACAAGGGCTGCCTTGCCTGACAGGCACTTCCCTCAGTCTGCATAGAGATTCAGGGGGCACCCTCCCTGGCATCAGCCACACACCCCAGCCTCTAAAATGTAAGCAAACTTCCTGAGCCATCACAGTGAGGTTTGGGCTGGGCCAGCACAGTGTCCCCTTGTCTCCAAGGAGGAGCTGCAGGTCAGAGGGGGTCACCTGAGGGCTCAAGGCATCATTTTCCTGATGGCTTTAGTGGGAGTGACTCAGGGTGCCTGCAATGTTGCACATGGGCTGGTCCTGCTCTTGCCAGGGCCAAATTGTCTCAGCATTCCATCCAGTCACCTGGGCTCTAGGAACAACTTTGCCTTCAGCTTGCCAGGTGGAGGGGAGCTGAGTACAGATGGTGAGTTCTGCAATAAAATCCATGGTACTTCTCATATCTGCTATTTTGACTTAATTCTTTCCCTGTTTCATCCTGCCCAACTGAAAGAAAGGTGGCTATGGAGGATCCTTGCTTCTCTTGGCCAGCTCTATGCACTGCTCACCACCCCTCTGAGCAGAGACTGACTGAACCAAGTCAGACTTTGCTGGAACTTGTATCTGTAGCTCAAACAAATGCACACATAGAAAAAACATCCATTTGCTTCATTTCCCAACATTTCTTTCTTTCATGTACCCTCCATCTGAACTATGACTTGAGGTTTCAAAAATGAAATCTTTTACTTATCCTTTAGGGCAGAGGACATGCAGACAACACACAACTCTTGAGGAAAGTAATCACTTCTGATGTAATAAGTTAGAGAAGGAAGAAAACCCTTGGCAAAGAATAAAGGATTGTTATGATTAGCACCTTCATACACATCACATTAATTTGAGAATTTATCTGAAAAAGTTCCAACAAGGAGTTGAAACACAACGGTGCATTGAGATAAGATGTTAAATTCATATTATTCAAAGGGAAACAAAAAATCAGTCTGCTTTGGATGAGGTAACAAATGCAGTGTTTTTCAGCTGTGGCTAAGTGATGCAATGGAAATATTTTCCTACAATAAAGAACCCGTTTTTCTTTGGTCAGAGCAAGTAAAAGAGATTTTTCAGTAAAAGAGACCCTTTTACTGACATGTATTGGATCAGTAAAAATAAAACATGACAAATGCAACCAACATCTTGGTGTATATTAATCTTAATTGAGAAAATTGCAAAAATGGCTATAGCAGGGGGAAGTGTGAAAAAATGATCACGAAAAAATTACCAGCCCTCAAAGTCAGGTAATCACCTAAAAAAGCAGCTTCTTTTGTGCTTCTGGAAGGATGACCAAGAATGAATCTCTTTCGGCAGATTGTAATGTGGAAAGAAACTCAATCCATGAGCAAGGAGGCTGCCTCTGGCCACGTGTCTGCATCGCATTAATGGGCACAGAAACTGAGAAAAGTTCTTTATAGATCTGCAGGACAGCATCCAAGAAAAAAGAGGTCCATAATTGATAATTCTCCTTTGTCATAAAAGCAACCTGCAATGACTTTAAATTGTGGCATAATTACTCAGGGGCAAAAGGAGTCAATAGGAATACTGTCAGTCATATTCTGCTCACTTGCAAATCTTGCAGACAGTTATGGAACTCTAGTAAACACCACAGCTGCAGTATGCAGCAAAAGCACTTCAAAAGGATTCTGGAACATTTCCCAGAGGAGAAATAAAACAATTTACTCTCCTTTTACAAGAAAGAGATAGAAACAGTGTCTATGATGTTTTGCAGGGCATATTGGCATGTTATAAACACTGTTAATGTTCCAGTCCTGCCAAGGGAGTCCCACAGGTCCATCTGCTAGACAGGACCCTGCAATTGCACAATAATGTAATTGGCATAGTGTTCTCTTCAGCTAATCCAGCAGCCTCTCATCATATATGCTTGTCATTTCTTTATTAAGGCTCTACTTGGTTATTGGTTTATAACTTATGGACAGAAAACTGCATCATTAATTACCATCACTAGTCATTGGGGCGAGTCAAGACAAAACTCTCAAACTACATATACCCCAGAAGTCCACTTTCAACGATAATAACAACATTTAATATGAAATAAACTTGCTAATTGTTTGAGGAAGTTGTCCTACTAATTCAGTCAGAGCAAAAGGCTTGACTGTTTTGGCACAGTAAAGTCATACAGATTCCCCTGTGTCCATTCCTGCAGTGCTTTCCTGGGTAAAGGAACTCGGGCTGGCAGGTTGGGAGCTCTGTGTTTTACATCAGCCCTTGTCAACTCCAGAGAGCCTGTCCTATGGAAAGCAAGTGTGGGAAAGCCCCTCAGCGTGCATAATGAAATGTCTCTTCTCCAATGCTCATTATCCATGGAAATGCCCCTCACTGGCATTTCAAATAAGTTGTTGAGAACAGGCCAGCCAAGGTTATTGATTTTAAACCAAGCCAGCTATATGAGCCATCACTACAGCTATACACTTCTTTGTTTAAAGGGAAATAAACATGTTTGACCTTACTCTTCTTACTCCTCTTCACCTCTGGGGAACCTCCCCAGTGCATGACAGCAAAGGACCCTCCTCAAAAGTATTACAGCTTGCCATGGAGGACAGCTATGATTTATTCAAATTCAATTTGAAGGCAATACAGTATATTCTCAAACATTTTAACTTAGCATTTTAAAGGAATAGCTTCAAGTTGGATTACTGCTCTGCCTTAAAAATGGTGGGTTTTTTTCTGACTATTAGAACACTACTCTATAAAAATATTCCTAACTTCCAAGTATCCATATGTTACACAAATAAGCAATAAAAGGATTTTCCAAAGTAAGACTGTGCTAAGTATTGTAGCTGTAAATCACTGGCTATCAGAACATCACACTATTATACAATGCATCTGCAATGAGTCATCCATTAAACTGTGTTCCAGTCAGAAACCTGGCATACTGGGACTTGGAAGAAGATTAATGTTTTAATATACTTTTAAACCATTTACAGAACGAAATGTACACATTTTCTCAGAGGGCTCCCAGGTTTTGTGTAACAAGACAGCAAAACATGAAATTAAACAAAGGGGATATTCTTAGCAGCATGTGTGTCCATGTCTAGGCTATAGTAAAGCAGCCAGCCCAGATTTACACATTCTGGAAAGGAATTAATAAGGCTACACCTGCACATACCTGAGTCCTGGCTGCTCTAGCAATAGTTCTCCCCTGCAGCTTTGAGCTCTGCAGGGCACAGCACATCTGGC